CACTGACAGCAGAGAGCCCTATGTGGGGCTCAAACTCACGAACTCTGACATCACCACCTGAGCCAAAGTCGGACTGTCCACTGACTGAGCCCCCCGGGAGTCCCCAAAGGAGTCTTTAAAGCAAACTTTGGTTAAATAATGGCTTTTGGACTTTTTCAAAACATTCAAGTTACGACCGTTACAATTGCTAGGTTTTTTTTAAAGGGCAAAAAGTCAAAATATTAGATATCTCTTAGCACCATCATATTTTTGATGATATCCAGACGGTGGAAGAGAGAGAAGTAGGAAGGTGCAGACTGGAAGGGGTACCATGGCCCTGACTCTCCCTTTGTGTGCTCAGGTGGTAATGACCTCTTTGCCTTTTCCTTTCCTATAGGGTATATTGTGAATCTGAGTTCCCAACAGTAAATATACTCATTTATTTCATATTCTCTACTAAACAGTTGTCCTACATTTATCACTTAAAAAAAAATTTTTTTTTTAACATTTATTTATTTTTGAGACAGAGAGAGCGAGAGAGCATGAACAGGGGAGGGTCAGAGAAAGAGGGAGACACAGAATCTGAAACAGGCTCTAGGCTCTGAGCTGTCAGCACAGAGCCCGACGCGGGGCTCGAACCCACAGACCGCAAGATCATAACCTGAGCCGAAGTCGGACGCTTAACCGACTGAGCCACCCAGGCGCCCCATTTATCACTTTTTTAATGTTTTTTATTTTTGAGAGAGTGCAAGAGGCGGGGGGGGGGGGTGGGCAGAGAGAGGGGGACAAAGGATCTGAAACGGGCTCTGTGCTGACAGCAGTGAGCCCAGTGTGGGGCTTGAACTTGCAAACCATGAGATCATGACCTGAGCCAAAGTCAGACGCCCAACCCACTGAGCCACCCAGGTGCCCCTAATTTACTACTCTGGATTAATGAATGGCTACTAACCCCTGTTAGAGAAAATTCCCATGTGCATTGGAACAGGTACAGAAAAGTCATAGTGGTGGTAATTTACCACCAGTGAGGAACTTATGTGTTCTAATGCCAAGAAGGACGATAGCATTTTCTGAGTTGATATTTTGATGTAGAAAACCTGAAGATACGCCTGAAACAAAAATTATTCTTGAAGTCCTCAAAACAGGATGTTACCACAGTTTTATAATTATTTTTTCTTTTAGCTAACGGACATAAAGAGTAGAGATAAAGTCACTTAGTCATTAAAGAATTATACAAGAACACTAATTCATTGGTAAAATTGAAGCTGGAGTGTAAGAACCATAGAAGTATGATGATCGGAAATATCAGTATTTTGTTCATCTAAAAAGACTTGATAAGCACAGTTTGGTTTATTTATTTATTTTTTAAAGAAT